TTAGCCACACAATTTCAGCTGCCACCATTGCCATGCTTCTGTATTATGCCTCTGCTGATGACCTTGCTATAGTATTTTGCTTCTTTGATTTCCAAGAAATTAAGGAATCTCCTAGTTTAACACAGAATCCAGTAACTGACCTCCTTGTCATCAAACAAGCTGCCCAGTCAGCATCACAAAAAGCTGTTAGCTGACATTGTCCTGCAGAAGACAACAATATTCCCTGACCAGGACTCTTCTTTATATACTTAACCACTCGAAGGGCAGCTTCCAAGTGTGATCTTTTTGGTTGCTACATAAACTGACTCAAATGGTGTACCACAAAAGTGATATCTGGTCTTGTATGAGTGAGATAGATCAACCTTCCTATTAACCTCTGGAAGACTTCTTTCTCACCCTGCAATACTTCATCATCTAACTTCTCTTTATCATTTTCAACCAAACCAGAATCATAACCAGTAGAAGTAAGCTTCACATTCTGTTCCATAGGAGTACAAACAGGTTTTGCACCTCCTAATCCTGTTTCTTCTATTAATTCTAGTGCATACTTCCTTTGGTTCAACATAATTCCTTCACTTGATCTAAGTATCTCAAAACCAAGAAAATACTTAAGTTCCCTTAGATCCTTTATTCTGAAACTAGCATGCAAGATAACTTTCAACTCTTCTATCATGGCAGCACTATTTCCAGTAATCAACAGATCATCAACATATATAAGCATGACCACTATATTTGTTCCTTCTCTCTTTGTAAAAAGAGAGTAATCGAACTTACTTTGAATGTATCCAGCAACAACCAACGCTTCAGTCAGCCTCATGTTCCACTGCTTAGATGCTTGTTTAAGACCATAAATAGACTTCTGCAGCCTACACACCATGTTCTCCCCCTGGCTGCAGAATCCTTGAGGTAGCTGTATGTAAACCTCCTCAAGCAAATTGCCTTGAAGAAACGCATTATATACATCCATTTGAAACAAAGACCAACATTGCAATGAGGCAAGCGCCAAAACAGTTCGAACCGTGACAAGCTTTGCAACAGGCGAGAAAGTTTCAACAAAATCCACACCTTCTCGCTGACTGTACCCCTTCGCAACCAAACGTGCCTTGTAACGTTCAATCTCACCATTGGACCGAAACTTGACCTTATACACCCACTTGCATCCAATGGGAACCTTACCCGGTGGCAAAGGAACGACACACCAAGTGTTGTTTAATTCTAATGCTTGAATCTCCTCTTGCATGGCAGTGACCCATAAAGGATCTTTAATGGCATCACTATAACTAGTAGGTTCAACAATGGAAGTGGAAGAAAGAAAAGACTGAGTGTGAAGTGGAAGATGAGAATAAGAAATATGATCTGAAATGGGATAATAGCTAGAAGTGGATGATTGGCAAGAAACATACTCATTTAACCATAGTGGAGGCTTAGACACTCTAGAAGACCTCCTAACAACCGGATTAATAGAAACAGTAGAAGACCGAGAAGTAACAGATGTAGGAGACGCGTGATTACCAACACTAGGACTAGATTGAGAAGACAAATTAGAAAGATTATTATGTGCTGAAGACACATCTGACATAGGCAAATCAATGACAAAAAACTCTGAATCAGGTATAACAGGTTGAGAAGGAAATAACCTAGACACCAATTCAGGTGAATGAAAAGGAAAAGAATACTCATGAAACCTAACATCCCTACTAACAAAAAAAGTTTTAGAAACAAGACTAAACATCAAATAACCCTTTTGAGTAGCCGAATATCCCATAAAAACCGAAGGAATAGCTCTCGGAAAAAACTTATCACGAGGCTTAGTATGAGTAGCATAACCTAAGCAACCAAAGACCTTTAAATGTAACAAAGAATGAGGCTTATGATGAAACATTTCATATGGAGATTTCCAATTAAGAATAGCAGAAGGAAGCCTATTAATTAAATAACAAGCAGCTAAGACACACTCACCCCAAAACTTAATAGGTACCCGAGACTGAAAACGAAGTACACGAGCTACTTCTAACAAATGTTTATGCTTCCTTTCAGCTACCCCATTTTGCTGAGGAGTATCAACATAAGAGGACTGATGAACAACCCCAAAAGAATAGAAAAAAGAAAAGCATTCTTTGCTGAAAAATTTAGACCCATTATCACTACGAACTATTTTTATAGAAGCCTCAAATTGATTAAGGACCAAAGAAAAAAACTTCCTTAAAGAGACAATAACATCTGACTTAAGTTTCAGTAAATAGAGCCATGTCATTCTTGTACAATCATCAACAATTGTCAGAAAAAATCTATGACCACTATGAGTAGAAATTCTATATACAAATCTATATGAATCAGTTGAAAAGGAAGACTAGACCGAGACTGACTAATTGGGAAAGGCAACCTAGCTTGTTTGGCTAAAGGACAAACCGAGCAAGAATGAATAACAGAAGAATCCAATTTGCAATCACTTAATGACATATGATACAATTTGAGAAAAGAAGCATGACCTAATCGAGCATGCCAAATGGAAGTTTTATTATTAACAGAAGACATACAATGAGTTGTAACATCGAAAGGCACCTTAGAAGCAATACTAAGAAAAGAACCAAGAGACTGAAGAATATACAAGCCTCCTTGTTTCTTACCAATCCCCAACATCTTGCCATTGAAGAGATCCTGAAAGATACAAAAATCAGGATAAAACTGAACAACACAATTTAAGTCTATTGTCAGCTTGGAAACAGATAACAAATTGTGAGTGAATGAAGGAACATATAGTACGTTTTTTAAACAGTGAGAAGAATCAAACCAATAGGAACCAGTATGTGTGATAGGAAGGGTTTTACCATTCGGAAGATGAACAAATCGAGAGGTACAGGCAACAGGATTACTCAAGCATTCAAAACTAGACAACATATGGTTAGTAGCTCCAGTGTCAAGAATCCAGGTAATTGAATTACTTTTAGAAGCAGGTAAAGCACCATGAATCATACCTGCAAAGTTAGCCGCAGCAACATTACTACAATCATGAATATCCTTGTTGAGGAGCTCCAGCAATCGATTATACTGGTCTGTGGTAAACATTGGAGCCAAGGGAGCCGGCAACAGGGAAAACTCAGAATGAGTATCATTCTGATCAGAGTTAGCCACCATGGCAGAAGAAGTCTTCTTTGCCTTTGTGAACTTGAACTCAGGAGGAAAACCATTGAGCCTATAACACTGTTCACGTTTATGGGCACGAATCTTACAGAAGTCACAGACTCCATTAAACCTTGCACAGCGAGGATTAGAGGAATTGGAGTACATCACCGTCGCATCAGAAAGTGGTGAAACGCCTGAAGACAGATATCTCTGTGACTCCTCCTGAACCACCATTGAATACGCCCGATTAACAGAAGGGAGCGGATCCATAAGAAGAATCTGGCTCCAAATGGCATAATACGTCTCATTCAATCCCATTAAAAACTGAAATAATCGTTGTTGAAGAACATGATTCAAGGCTTGCGAAGAATCGACACAGTTACACGAAGAGACAGGAACTAAAGCACTGTACTCATCCCAAAGTAACTTCAGACGCGAATAATAGGTGGAAACCGATGAATCACCTTGAGTAAAGAGAGCAATCTCTCGATGTAAGAAGAAGATTCGTGAGCCATCAATCTTGCTGAAACGCTCCTTCAAATCTTTCCAAACAAGTGCAACAGTGGAAGCGAACACTAATCCCGCAGAGAGGTCAGCACTTACAGTATTCAAAATCCACGAGAGAACGATTGCATTACATCTATCCCACTACGATTGCAAGAGTTCAGCGAAATTATCACGAACACAGTCACCGTCGATGAACCCTAACTTGTTCTTTGCTAGCAGCGCGATTCAAATCGAGCGGCTCCAGAGGTTGTAATTCTCAATTCCCATCAGCTGATGCGAAACCAGTACAGTGCCAGGCGTATCCGACGGATGAAGATAGAGAGGATGCGAGAAATCGATCGATTCTATGGAAACGGAGAGGAAAAAAAGAGCGAATCAGTGAAGAAAGAGGGGGAAATCAGAAAGGTCGAGCCCCCACACAAGACCTTTCCTCTGATACCATGTTTAAAACACGTGTGAAAAAATACCTCATATCTTCTTATTAATAACTATTCCAGTACACTATATTTATATACAATTCGATTACATCAGCTAACATACTAACTACCTTATAACCAACTGCTAACTAATTAACAAATCTGTTAACTAACTCCTAACTTCTCAACAAAGAGTATCTGATCTGTCTTTCAACAAATCCTTTATTGCGCTTATTTCGAAGAAATCCAATGCTATTCATCCAGACGAGTTCAGACCAATTTCTTTGGTTGGGAGCATGTATAAGATAGTTTTCCATTTGTTGGCTAAGAGGATGAGCGGCTGCCTTGCATAAGTAATTGGAGAAAATCAATTTGCTTTTATTGCTGGAAAATAGATTGTAGATTGTAGTTTGATTGCTAATGAAGTCATCGATGGGCTTTTGAAAAGTAAGAAAGAAGCAGTGCTGTTCAAGGCTGATTTTAGCAAAACATATGATACGGTGGATTGGTTGTTCTTGAACCTTATCCTAAAGAAAATGAGTTTTGGTCGAAGATGGAGAAATTGAATTAAATTCATTGAAAATAATTGATTTGTAGACGTGATCAAAATTCAACTCAACTCAAATAATTAATATAATTATAAAAAATCGTTTAAATTAAAATAAAATATTATCGTAATATTATAAATATTTATAATTAAATTTAAATAAAAACTAAAATAATTTAATTCGTTAATTCAAATAATTTAATTTTTAACTCGATTCAACTCAAATTAACAACGTGAAAACGTCGACCCCAAATTAGTGTTTTGTGACGCTACGTCACCCAGAATTTTAAATTTAAATCAAATTAATTAAACAAAACTCCAACAAGCCTGGCTCTTTATTTATAACATCAAAAACCACAATAACGCGTACGTGCCCTTTTTAACTTCCTCCATTTCCCGGCAACGAAAGATCTCTTCCTTTTTCGTTTTCTCCGGCGGCCATCTCAAATCACCGGTATCTCTAGCCGTAAGGTACAATTTCCGGTTCCCTCTATCATCTGCTTCGACATCTCGTGATTCGGCTTATTCTAACTCGTCGCAGTCATGAATCCCGAATAGTAAGTTTTCTTTTTATTGTCTTCAAATTTTAGGAAAAACCGTTAACCTATTAATTTCTTTTATTTTTGTTTATGTTAATCACTCGTTTTTAGTTTATTTTCTATAGATTTGTTTTTTCATTATTATTCTTTCGAATTAGCGGTTGTTTATTTCTGCTATATTTGTGTTTCCTTCTTTCATGGCCTTATTAATCAGATCCGATTATTTGAAGTTTTAGGCGTGTTTATTGATTTTCTTATGAAAAATTTGATAATGAGTAATAATTGTGGCTGCAAGTCGTGACTTATAGAAGTGAGTTCTTAAGTTAGGTAACAGTTTAGGGAGGAATTGAAGGTACATAATTTTTTTTAAGACTTAAAGATATAAGTAATCAAATGAATTTTGATGACACGTTCTGAGTCAAATAAAAGAGCTTTATATGCTAGGGAGAAAAATGAATCTTGATTGATTAGGAGCTTTCATCGGATGTTTGCTTATAGATTGATATTTTGACTATTTTCAATATTTATTTTGATTTTTTTTTGTTTATGTCAGTGATTATCTGTTTAAGCTTTTGCTTATTGGAGATTCTGGTGTTGGGAAATCGTGTTTACTTTTGAGGTTTGCTGTAAGTTCTTGGTTAATCTTTGAGTTTCATGCCTTTTGAAGTTAGCTTCATGATTTGAGATGTTCCTATTATTCAGAGGTTTATGCGTTTGAACTCATTTTCTGTATCTTTTTTCAAACCAGGATGATTCATATCTGGAGAGTTATATCAGTACCATTGGTGTTGACTTTGTACGTATTGTCTCAGTACTTTATAGCAAGTTTGTTCATTATAATCTTGCGAATGGTGGGTTATAACAAATCGTATTCCCATTTGCAGAAAATCCGCACTGTGGAACAAGATGGGAAAACCATCAAACTCCAAATAGTAAGTTTGTTATTGGTTGGCTATCATTTCGTTTGTTAATCAAGATTTATTTGGAATCCATACTCCAATTGCACCTGTTTTTTGCCTTTTCTGATCATTGTTGATTGCCTTTACATGTTTGTCTCTGGATACTCAGTGGGACACTGCTGGACAAGAACGTTTTAGGACAATAACTAGTAGCTATTATCGTGGTGCTCATGGTATAATAGTAAGCGCCATATTTTGCATGTAGTTTCTCCCTCTTTTTTCTTTATGCATTTATCAGGATTGAACTCATGCTGCTAACCTCTTGGCAGGTTGTTTACGATGTGACAGACCCAGAGAGTTTCAACAATGTCAAGCAGTGGCTAAATGAAATTGATCGCTATGCCAGTGATAATGTAAACAAGCTTTTAGTTGGGAACAAGTGTGATCTAACAGCAGACAGAGCTGTGTCCTATGAAACAGCCAAGGTAAATTGATTGGACGCATTTGTTGCAAATTTATACAGAGTGTTGGTATCGGAAAACTTCAGGAATTTCGTCATTCGTGAGTTATTTTCTTTTTATAGGCCCTTGCAGATGAAATCGGGATTCCTTTTATGGAAACAAGTGCTAAGAGTGCCTCGAATGTTGAAGAAGCTTTCATGGCCATGGCTGCTTCAATCAAGACTAGGTACACACACATGCATATATGGTAGATGGATTTATTTCTTTAATTGATAAGCACTCATTTTTTAAGTTTATCGGTCCTTATTTCCTTACGGTTGTTGGCAGGATGGCAAGCCAACCAGCTATGAACAACGCGAGACCTGCAACAGTGAATATTAGAGGACAGCAAATCGAGCAGAAGTCTGGTTGCTGCTCGTCTTAAGAAAAATAGTTTTTTAGTGGGACTCATAATGCTCTTTTGTGTTTTTTGTGTTGCATGTAAAACTGGTGTCTTTTAAATGCTTTTGATATGAATTTCAGATGGTTCAATATATTTCCTATTCCTCTGTTAAATTTCTATTCTTTTAATTGTATTTGATTATAAGAATACTTTTGTACAAAATAGTAATATCAGGTTTGAAATTTAAGTTTTTATCTTATAAAAAAAATTATGTTTTTAACAAAGTCATGGAAGTTCAGAAAATTGTACCATTTTGCCCAGGTCATTTATCCTGACAAAATTTTATATTATATATTTGATTACACAATGAAATTTGAATTCTTAACATGAATGTACACAACTGTTACAATGCAAGGACAAAGCAGAAAAATAACATTCAAGGGGAATCTTTAAACCTACCAGTAATCGCCACAAGAACAGCATCCATCCTTAAAATGGTGAAACCTAACGGTATCCCTAACAATAATATCTCTTCTTTCTATTGCTGAAATGTACTTGATGGCACGGTGGCAATCGCCGCAGACTCTCAAGTTCTTGAACACCCTGATCGGAGTTCCATATGAAGTATTGATAAGGCCAAAGGCAATCACCAGCTTCTCACTATGTCGTAATAGAAGCTGTTCTTTTTGCTCTTCCCCCACATCATGCAATGCAAAAAATTCAAGATCCGAAACATAACCGGCCAACTTCATTTTCTTCTCCAACTCATTCAATTTCCGATGTATAGATGCTACTTCGGGGTGCACTCTATCCCCAGACCTGAACTAATAAACTGTACTCTTTATCTCAATCCAACTATAACCTGGTGTCTTTATTACCCCATTGTCTTTCATCGATCGGCGAACCCTAGCAACATGGTCCCATTTGCTCATTGCAGCATAAACATTAGCCAGCTGCACATACCCAGCTGCACTTTTAGGATCAAGATTGAGCAAATTCTGAGCCGCAAACTCGGCTATCTCCAAGTTCTTGTGGATTCTACAAGCACCCAAAAGGGTTCCAAATATGGTGGAATGTGGTTTAAATGGCATTTTCTTTATTAAATCTACAGCTTCACGGAGTTTCCCAGCTCGACCGAGCAGGTCCACCATACATGAATAGTGATTCGGTCTAGGTTCAACCCCATAATCCTTCACCATGGAATCAAAGTATCGAATCCCGACATCTACCATCCCCGCATGGTTACAGGCTGAAAGAAAAGCCACGAAAGTGATCCAATCAGGCTTTGTTCCTTCACTCCTCGTATCCTCAAACAAATGGAGAGCTCTCTCACCAGCACCATGTTGGGCGTATCCAGAAATCATTGCATTCCAACTAACAACATCCTTCCGATTCGTCTCGAGAAACAGTTTCCAAGCATCATCCAACACTCCACATTTACAGTACATGCTAATCAATGAAGTAGACGTTGTATCATCACGTAAGGGAGACTTACAAACAAGCTGGTGAACTTGTTTTCCCAATTGTAGAGCGGACAATTCACTACAACCCAGTATAACACTGCTCAAACTCGAATGATTCGGCCGAATACCATTTCTTAACATGATCCTAAAAAGCTTTAAACCATCCTCAGCTCGACGATTCTCCACAAAGATCATAGCATTCCAAGTCACCAAGTTTTTAACCGGCATATCTCTAAACAATCTCTCAGCTTTTTGTATCTTCCTAAACTTCATATACCCACTTATCATTGCAGTCCATGTCACGACACTCTTCTCAGCGGCAAACTCAAAAAACTCCTCAGCGAATTCCAATGCCCCACATTCAACAAACCCAGAAACCATTGCACTCCAAGTAACGCTATTCTTCTCCGGCATTGCCAAAAACAATTCCCTTGCTTTCCCCATTGCGTCATTTTGAGCGAAACCAGATATCATCGTATTCCACGAAGCGGTATCCTTAGAATTAAAGAAAGACCAAGCCGTTTCCATCCAAGAATTTTGTACATAACAAGCCAGCATGATATTATACGAGACAATGTCCTTTTGAGGAATTTGATCAAATAGTTTCTGGGCTCGTGTCATTTTCCCGGGTTTTCTCGAGTACGCGGCTAAAATTGTATTCCAATTAACAGTCGTTTTAACAGTCATGTTTGTGAAAACTAGGAGAGCGGAATTCAAATCACCCGATCGAATATAACTAGTGATAATCTTATTAGAAGAAATGATATCATCGAGATCATTTTGATGCAAAGCTGGGTGTTTGCTTGTTAAGTTTATCGGTGGGAACCAAGTGGAGTCTTCGCGGTGAATGGGAAGGGAAAGCAGAGGGAACAGCTTCAAGGGTGGGATTGGCATTTGGGGGCTGACACATTGGTGGCTGTGTTGCCTCCGTATCCGCCTCCTCGCCACGCCCACCTCCATAGTACCTCTTCCCTTCAGCAGGCTTTAGAAACTCGTTGATGCTGATAGCCTACAATGACAATAACAAAAACGATTCCCACCATGCAATAACGGTGTAAGAACTTGATTATACCAACAAACTCCAAAGGCGAATCAATACTTCGCTTACAAATCCAAATTAAGTTGATAATAACAAAAAGATAAATGTATGCAAACCTTTATTTCTTCTTCTGTATCAGCATCTTTGTGCTTGTCCTTTTCGGAACCCTGACAACCAAAAGCATAGTCAACACGCCAGCACAAAATACAATATAACTAGGGCAGAAAATTAAGAAATTTTACAAGTTCGATAAAGATGTCACCATTGCTCTTCTTATTCGAAAGTTGTTGCATAGACTCAAACTCTTTCCCATCAACTTTCCTTCCTTCAGTCTTGAGGGCAAGAAAAGCTTTCCTCTTCTCCTCAAGAATCTTCTCATATTCGTCCAAAGTCATCTCCTAATATCGACAGATCAAAATTAGAAACGTTAACATTTTGAAAGACTTATTGTACCAGGCAAATCCAAACTAAGTTGATTAGTTGATAACCCTAAAGCTGATTTCACTGGCAAGTATTGGCCAGTTCCGCAGTTCATAATTATTGGATGTTAAATTTTACCAATATTTCAGTATTAACATAAATTCATATAACATTTTTTACCTGGTCCAGAGGTCATTAGTAGCAAAGAAGTAAAAACAGAGGGGAATCACCAAAAATAATTTTGTTACTCAACTAACCACATTAGAAACCAAAACCCTAACTCTGATCAAGGAACTACCTTATTTTCAGGTTCCTTCTCCTCGACTTCATTTGCAGCATTCTCCTTCTTGGCATCCGCAGCATCTTCCTCTCCCTTCTCAGTGCTTTTCTTATCATTTTCAGAGGCATTTTCTTCGGTCTCCCTAATTTGGGCCAAAATTGCAGATATACAACTTATGAGCTTGCGTCACATAAATATATACACATGTACACATAAATAAGCATATAGCATACAAATAAGAAACTTTTTTGTCCATGCAGCTTATAATACTGACAAAACAAATACTCACGAAGCAATTTCATCAGTACCCACCAATTTCCACGCCCAGCACCATCACGTTTGAATTCATTCCTGTATAGAAAAATGGAGTGACCAATGGTTACAGAAAACAGAATGCAATAGAGAGACCGTAGATAACAAATCATGCAACCAAGAAAGGAAAATATTAACCCACGTCCAGTCCCACTGTGGCGATCCTGCAAGGGTGTTCCCCTTCTCCAGATTCTCCATTGTTAAAACCCCCACCGCGACCTCCACGGAAAGCACCTCTAGGCCCAACATTGCCGCGCCTTTCATACTGCCTCCCTCCTTCTCCCTCTTCATAGGGCCTGTACCCTCCTGAAAATCCATTGGAGTAATCACTACCTCTCGAATCACGATTGAACCCATTGCTGCCTCGTCCACCACCACGGCCACCACCACGACCTGGCCCAGTCTTCGCCTCTTCACTACATAAAAGACATAGGGGAAAAGAATGCAGGATAAATGAGCAAACACACTGCATTTCGATGACTAAATATTAGTCTATACTCTATTAACAGGGATGGAGCAATGATCAAACATCAGAAGAGGCCAGATAACTAAACTTCAAAAAAAAAAAAAAAACTGATTAAGTATTTAAACTTGAAATTGGGGGGGGGGGGGGGGGAGGCCTAATTTGCCTATATTTATCCCAATAAAACCATAGAAGTCTAAAAAAAATTAAGCTTCTCATCGAGAAAACATGGAATATAACTTTATAGCAACTGCAAGACAAATAAAGATTGCACAAAACACATTTATCCATAGAAACGCTTACAACTTCATAGCAATAGATACTCCTCTGTTAAATTTTCACAAATATCTCCTCTTACCTCATTTCAATATATAATAAGCAGGCGTAAGATTTAATCAAAAATATAATAAGTTTCAGAAATGGATTTTATTTTACTAGTTCTCTAATCCTACATCAATCCAACAACCACTACCAAAATAGATACCCCACCCACAGAAACAATACATGATAGAGAAACAAATTTACTACTTTTAAGGATGTTATCTTCAAATCAAAACACTATTAAGAAACCACCAGCTTGAGCAGGAGGAAGTGGCTTGGAGGGGAGCTTGGCAGACTTAACAGGCTGAGCTTGAGCTGGAGTAGAAGCAGGAGCTTTCTGAGGCTTTTCAAGAGATCAAAGGAGTTCTGGGTTGCCATTGTTAACTCAAAGAGATTATACAGAAAAGTTCAGCTTTCTTTTTGAACTTAAAAAAGAAACAGAAACCAAGATAACCCTACAATATGGTTGAAGCCATGGATGCGAATAATTGTGAATATCTATAGGTTTTGATGTTTGGAAGGTAAGAAAATGACGCACACACACAGGAAATGCAATGCGACTATGCGGCAGAGAAATAAGATTGACGCTACACCTAATCTTGAAAACCCTATTGGTTTTGTTAATTTGTGCACGACTTCATTTCACGATTTGTTCATTTTATTTTCTATTTTAAGATTTTTCCTTAATAAGCAAAATGGCCCCTAAATCATTTTTAATTTATTTTAACAATTTTTAAAAAAATTATTAAATTGTTTTCTTTATAATATTTAAAATTTATAGAAATTTATGATCTCATATATATAATAAATATAATTATTACATTAAATAATATATTCAAAATAATAGATAAATTACATTATT